TTTGTTCATTCCTTTGGCAGTCCGTGGTATATTCAAAATTCTCCGCCAACACCATATTTCAAAGGCATGAGTTCTTCTTCGGTCTTCCTTATTCGTTGTCCAGCTTTTGCAAGCATATGAGGCAAATGAAAACATCATGGCTTGGGTCAGGCAAACCTTAGTCTTCAAGGTGACATTTTTGCTTTTTAACACTTTCATGAGGTCTTTTGCAGCAGATTTGCCCAGTGTGATGCACCTTTTGATTTCCTGACTGCTGCTTCCATGGGTGTTGATTGTAGATCCAAGTAAAATGAAATCCTTGACAACTTCAGTCTTTTCTCCATTTACCATGATGTTGCTTATTGCTCCAGTTGTGAGGATTTTTGTTTTCTTTATGTTGAGGTGTAATCCATACTGAAGGCTATGATCTTCGATCTTCATCACTAAGTGCTTCAAGTCCTCTTCACTTTCAGCAAGCAAAGTTGTGTCATCTGCATAACGCAGGTTGTTAATGAGTCTTCCTTCAATCCTGATGCCCTGCTCTTCTTCATACAGTCCAGCTTCTTGCATTATTCGCTCAGCACATAGATTGAATAGGTATGGTGAAAGGATACAACCCTGACGCACACCATTCCTGACTTTAAACCACAAAGTATCCCCTTGTTCTGTTCAAACCACTGCCTGTTGATCTATGTACAGGTTCCTCATGAGCACAATTAAGTGTTCTGGAATTCCTATTCTTCGCAGTGTTATCCATGATTTGTTAAACATCCTTCTAGTATTCTCTGCTTTTGGCCAGGATCCATCTGACATCAGCAATGGCATCCCTCATTCCACGTCCTCTTCTGAATCTGGCTTGAATTTCTGGCAGTTCCCTGTCAAGGTACTGCTGCAGCTGCTTTTGAATGATCTTCAGCAAAATTTTACTTGCATGTGATACTAATGATATCGTTCGATAATCTCCACATTTGGTTGGATCACCTTTCTTTGGAATAGCCATAAATATGGATCTCCTCCAGTCAGTTGGCCAGGTAGCTAGCTGTGTTTCAGATTTCTTGGCATAGACGAGTAAGCACTTCCAGCACTGCATCCGTTTGCTGAAACATCTCGACTGGTATTCCACCAATGCCTTTAGTACAGCTTGGATCTCTTCCTTCAGTATCATTGGTTCTTGATCATATGCTATCCTCTTGACATGGCTGAATGTTGACGAATTCTTTTTGGTATGGTGACTCTGGGTATTCCTTCCACCTGTTTTTGATGCTTCCTGTGTGTTTCATATTTTCCCCACAGAATCCTTCAATACTGCAACTCAAGGCTTGAATTTTTTTCTTCAGTTTTCAGTTTGAGAAATGTCGAATGTGTTTTTTCCTTTTGGTTTTCTAACTCCAGGTCTTTGCATATGTCATTATAATACTTAACGTTGTCTTCTCGAGCCCACCTTTGAAATCTTGTTCAGCCTTTTTACTTCATCACTTCTTTCATTTGCTTTAGCTAGTCGACACTCAACAGCAAGTTTCAGAGTCTCTTCTGACATCCATTTTGGTCTTTTCTTTCTTTCCCGACTTTTTAATGAACTCTTTGTTTTCTTCAAGTATGACGTCCTTGATATCATTCCACAACTCGTCTGGTCTTCGGTCATTAGTGTTCAATGCATCAAATCTATTCTTTAGAAGGTCTCTAAATCCAGGTGGGATATACACAAGGTCATACTTTGGCTCTTGTGGACTTGTTCTAATTTTCTTCAGCTTCATCTTGAACTTGCATATGAGCAACTGATGTTCTGTTCTACAGTCAGCCCCTGGCCTTGTTCTGACCTATGGTATCGAGCTTTTCCATCATCTCTTTCCACAGATGTAGTTGATTTGATTCCTGTGTATTCCATCTGGCGAGGTCCATGTGTATAGTGACCATTTATGAAGTTGAAAAATGGTATTTGCAATGAAGAAGTCATTGGTCTTGCAAAATTCTAACATGTGATCTCTGGCATCATTTCTATCACCAAGGCCATTATTTCCAACTACCGATACTTCTTTGTTTCCAACTTTCACATTCCAATCACCAGCAATTATCAGTACATACTGATTGCATGTTCAATCAATTTCAGACTGCAGAAGTTAGTAAAAATCTTCAATGTTTTCATCTTTGGCCTTAGTAGTTGGTGCATAAATTTGAATAAGAGTCATATTAACTGGCATTCCTTGTACGTGTATGGATATTATCCTATCACTGACAGAGCTGTACTTCAGGACAGATCTTGAAATGTTCTTTTTGACGATGAATGCAACACCATTCCTCTTCAAGTTGTCATTCCCAGCATAGACGACCATATGATTGTCTAATTCAAAATGGCCAGTACTAGTCCATTTCAGCTCACTAATGCCTAGGATATTGATGTCTATGCATTCCATTTCATTTTTGACAAATTCCAATTTTCCCAGATTCATACTTCATACATTCCACATTCCGATAATTAATGAATGTTTGCAGCTGTTTCTTCTCATTTTGAGTCATGCCACATCAGCAAATGAAAGTCCCAAAAGCTTGACTCCATCCATGTCATTAAGGTCGACTCTACTTTGAAGTAGCCCTGGTAGTGTAGTGGTTAAGAGCTTGGCTGCTAACCAAAAGGTTGGCAGTTCAAATCCACCAGCCACTCCTTGGAAACCCTATGGGGCAGTTCTACTCTGTCCTATAGGGTCGCTATGAGTGGGAACTGACTCGATGGCACCTAATAACAACAACTACTTTGAGGAGGCAGCTCTTCCCCAGTCTTTTGAGTGCCTTCCAACCTGAGAGGCGCATCTTCCAGCACTGTATCAGACAATGTTCCACTGCTATTCATAAGGTTTTCACTGGATAATTCTTTTCAAAAGTAGACCACCAGGCCCTTCTTCCTAGCCTGTCTTAGTCTGGAAGCTCAGCCGAAACCTGTCCACCATGGGTGACCCTGCTGGTATTTGAATACCAGTGGCATAGCTTCCAGCATCACAGTAACACACAAGTCCCCACAGTACAACAAACTGACAGATGAGTGCAGGCTATAAATTATAGCTCTGTCAACATTTTCTAAACTTCAGGCATGAATCTTGAATTTCACTCCAGTTTTCACCATCTCTACCTCCACAAAAACATCCCAGATGTTTTCTTAATAACAGAATTTCAGGAACTGCATAATTCAGAATTCACCAAGAACTACAGGAATTGTACACTTGAGAATAATAGGCCTGGTGGCACAGTGGTTAAGAGTATGGCTGCTAACCAAAAGGTCAGCGGTTCAAAGCCACTAGCTGCTCCAAAGGAGAAAGATGTGGCAGTCTGCTTCCATAAAGATTACAGCCTTGGAAACCATATAGGGCAGTTCTACTCTGTCCTACAGGGTTGCTATGAGTCAGAATTGACTCAATGGCACACAACAGAAATATATGATTTCAATGATAAAACCAAAGATAAATTGCTTCCTAAAATCTGAATTTCTCTTTCACATAGAATTTAAGTTTTCTTTTTTAATGTACTCGTCATATAAACCAGTGCTTTCAACTTTATAACTTAGCATCTTTTATATAAGCGTATATTTTTAAACACATCCCTACTCCCCTAAAGAAAAAGCTGGCACCTAATTTTAAGAATTCTTAACAAGTTTAGCAATTATTTCTAGACCTTGTATTATTTTATTCACACATCTAGAGGATGGCATGTTAATTGAGAAATAGCTGAGGGGCTATAATGTCTGTTTTCAAATAACCGAAGGTCTCTGATGGGAAAATACATCTGCTTGTAAAATGAAAAAGGGCAGTAAGGAAAATGGGTAGAAATGACAAAGTGGCTATTAACAAGTACTTCTTAGCATTAAAATTCCAATTATCAAAAGCATTTTATCAGAAACTAGAGGCCATTTGAAACAGCTGTTGAAAATAAAGGTGATATCTGTACTGAGTAAGGGTATGCTGTCTACAACCACTGTACTCTTTAAGATTCTAGACTTAAGTCAGAAAAATAAAATACCTTTTCTTTTTGAATATCTTGTAGTGCTTTACACTGCTCCTTCAATTGTTGTTCCTTCTTAGCTGAATCCTGCTCCAAAGTAGCCTTGGCAGTCTTCAGTTCTTGAATCAATTTTTTTTGGTTTTCAATTTGACTTCTGTTTGAAATCAAGTCCTCCTGTGCTAGAGAAAGCTTCTCTTCTACAGACTTAGAAAAACAAGTTCCCCAAATTATAATATGCTATTTTTCAACAAATTTCAACAGAAACATAATAGTTTTAAGCACTATGGGAAGCACTATAGTATAAAAAGATAGCCCTTCAGAAAGATCAAGTAAAAGAGAAAAAAATTCTAGATTATTAATTCTCTTGCATATGGAAAACATTTATAGTATGAAATTCAAATCTCTAAGACTGAAGCAATTGCAAAACCTTGAGAAATCAATCTAAGTATTTACTAAATGTTTATTATATCTTCAATAATGACTAGGTGATATGAAGGAATATCAAATAAGTTGGGACCATATCAAATACACTCAGAGAACATTAATGATTAGAGAGAAGACAGGGGGAGCAATTAAAGAGAGTCATTTTTTAAAAGTTACATTATGTATACATGCATGTCTTACAGGATCTATGATATCCCTTGGCATGCTAAGAATCTTTAATAAGTAAGATGGGTTTTTTGTCTTGGAAAAAAAATTGTATTTCCTATCTACCAACTTGGGATCACGTAAACTAAAAGAGAAAAGCCAGCTAGACAACTGAGGCTCTAATCCTGAGAAGGGCATCTAATCTTTCCATCTATATGGTTGTCAGAAATGACTGACTGTCAGAGTCCATAGTTACTGACTGTTCTGAGGCCCAAGTATATTGAGAAGCTGAAGTTGGGTAAACGACAAGCTTTCTGACTATCAGGTTTCATTTTTAGGTAGATATGTAACAAGTGGGTACTGGGAATGGCAGGAACCTCGCCACTCTCAGCTGCTACTGCTAAGAATCAGTAGTGAAGGGGAATCAACTCTAAGATGCTCTTCTACCATCTAGAATAAGCTGGTCTTCCTTATTGGAAATACAGGTCTTTTGAAGAAGAGACAGAAGATATAATTCAGGAAGGGAGCCCTGCCAGTTAGGTTTGTACATAGTAAAGTAAGTATTCAATTAAAAAGAATGAAAAACAAAAAACTGAATTAAGACATCATTTAAGGGGCTTCTTAAGATTCCTGAAAAAGTTTATTCCTTCAAATAACCTAATTAAGAAGTCTTTCTGATATAAATTATATTTCAATTCTTATGGCTGCCAGTAGAACACTAAGATACTAAGACTCCTTCCCCCCACCCCCCCTCCCAGGAATCACCTAAAGACATCTACTCCTTTATTAATCAGGGAGCTAACCATTAACTGAGTATATTATGATACAGCAGGAAGATATAAGACAGTCTTTGACTTAAAGGAGCTTACCAGATAGCTTGATGAACAGAACAAGCGTGTCAAATGGAAGATTAACAAGGCAGTAGTGTATATGCTATGTGCCAAATACACAGATAAACAGTGAGTCTGAGAGCTCTCTGTGGAATGTGGCTCACAGAAGACTCTATGGTATACATGGGAATTGACTAGGCTTCACCAAGAGTGAGAGTAATTTCACATAAAAAGACTAAAATTTGACAAAGCCTAGTACATACAATCTATAGCAACCGTAATTAGATAACAGAGGTCTTGATATGATGCTAAAGAATACCAAGGTCTGCTAGAGCCTGGAAAGCAACCCTCACCCCTGACCACAAGAATTCAAAATATCCTTGGTTTAAATAACAGCCTATAAAATTTTAAACTCACAAAACCCAGTGGCTAATTCTTTAAAGTCAAACTCAAAATCCTGACTGCTCTATGAAATCTTTTCTGAAGATGCCAAGACATATATATTGCTCTACCTATCTCTGAATATTTATCTGTGTCACTCAATGGTATACTAACCATGCATTTTAAATGTTCCTTTTATCTTTCTTGTAGCAGACCATGTTATTTTCATCTGCTCAGCATCTCTTCCCTTGGGGAACCCCTCTCCTGTTCTCTGTTTTTTTCTGGGGGGGAGGGGGGAGGTTATCTTTAACCCATCTACTTCAATTGGAATAGACAAGTCCTTGAGAGTGGTTCAGCTACCAACCGTGACTCTGATTATGCCAATCACATTATAGTTCCCCAGCTAAAAAAATCTCTGCAGTGTTCTGTGGTAGCTATTAATTTTTGTCTGACCAGCAAATTTTCCCATTTACTTCCTTCAAAATAAAACCTTGAAATTCTTAGTTACTAATTTTTCTTAATGTCTGATGAAATGACAGAAGGGACAGTGGAAATGGGCAGATGAAATGACAGTACTAGGTTAAGAAGATTCATATTTAATTCCAAACTTATTATCCCAGAATTTTCACTTAACTCAGGGTACAAAATTTATAGTTAAATTGCACTTCTACCTTTTCTTAATAAGTAAGCATAAAAAAAACAAACCAAACCCGTTGCCATAGAGTCAACTCTGACTCAAAGCCAATTTGAAATATCCAGTCAACAAACTTAAGTATTTTACAAATAATCCAGCAGATGGTGCTAAAGGCAAAGATCAGGCCAGACCGTCTTCCATTCTACTGGTGTCCTGGAGTGTATATACAACCCACAGCCTTGATTTAGGTAGGTAGGTGTCATGTTGTTAGGTTCTGAATCTCTCTCCTCCTTTCTTATAAACAACGAGATCATAAAACGTCACTGAAGCAAAAGAAAAATAATGGTTGATAACCATCTCTTATTCTGGTCGATAAATATCATTTGAACTTCCCTAGGAATTTACTTTTTTAAAATTTTAATTAACTTCCTAAGTAGTTCAGGTACTTCTCACTTTGGAACCATTAGTTTAGAATTTATCAATCTTCTACTTTGTTAAAAAAAAAAAAAAAAAATCTGGCAAACTGGTAGCAAAAAGAATAAAGAATAAAGGCCTATGAGTGAGAACAACTGAGATGTAATCATGGTTCTATTACTGTGAAGCACGGGGCCTGTCACAATCAAGCTGAGCCTTGGTCCCCGCATCTGTAACAGGAGAGTTTCGGAACAGAGGCTCTATCCAAGGTCTCTTAACAGTTCTAAAACTTTATAGCAGCCTTGTCCTCCCTTTTTCTTTTTGCCCATATTTATATTTAAATTATTCATTCATGACTAAAATTATTATTATATGAAGTAACTTTCAGACATAATAAAATTTGTTGCTTAATAAAAGAATATTGGTTTAAGAGACATAAATCCTATTATTATGTCATGTTCTTAGGTAAATAATACACCCATATGAAAAAAGAGTGTGTGGCTACAGGACTTTTATAATCAATCATTAAGTTTCATCTCTTCTATCTCCTAAATGTCTTTTAAATTCATCCACTTTTCTCCATCGTTACTGTTGTTACCAGTGCAAATCTCATTCTGTCTCACTACATTCAGCCGTTCCTCCATAATCCACTCCTCATCCTGTGGCCAGTCATTTGCCTAAAATACAAATCTGAAAACATTCCCTTCAGGGGTTCACCACAGCCTTTAGGATAGAATCCAAACTACTCCCACAACTCTTCCCCCTTTTCAATAGTGTTATAAAATAATAATAATATAATAAAGCTACTTACAGAGAAGAGAAAATAAGACATCACCTAAATGTCAGGTGATATTTTTTTGTTATAACAACTCTTGCTAATTTTGAATTTACTGTCTCCTGGCTTTGCTCATTGCCATCACAGCATCTTTTCTTAAATGTGCCCTGATCTGAAGAGATCTTTCTCAGAACTCTCTGCATATTCAGATTCTACACATCCTGCAGGACCTAGTTAAGTCCTATCTCCTTCATAAAACCTTATCGATAACAGCTTATAAACAACATACACATATTTTTAATATTATGTATAATATATATTTTTAAATATTCTGTGGTTTTCAGCACTTTTGCAATAATACACTTTAAAGAAAACAACAAACATAAGAAAGAAACAGGAAACATACTTCACCTTGACACACACCAAAAAAAAAAGAACTGGCTAAATCTTCTCTAAGAGAATACAAATATTCCACTTCCCTTAGAGAACTGATATCTCATGCTATATAAAAAATGCTTACCATTTTTTATGTCCTTTACTTTAATAAATGTGATACCTTATCTAATCAAATAGTATTGTCAAGGACAAAGTTTCCATACATGGTTGGATGTTTAAGGTGAAGTTTATTTTGAACTATAATCTCCTAATTTTAATCATTAGGCATTTTGGTAATCTTGGAAAGGACAGAAGTATATAAAACTAAAGTCAGTACTGCCTGACAAGCAATAGTAAAATCACTTGCATTTTCACAAGTAGTTTACATTTAAAAATCCTTAGATACGCTAACAGCAGCCCATTTTTTTGTTATTTTCAAATAAAGACAGTAAAGTCCTTAGATAAACTAGTATATACCAACCCTTTACAATATAATTAGTAATTAATGTATTTCCAAATTATTTTTCTATTACAGATTCGTTATTTTAAATATCGACATTTACATATATATTTTGTTACAAGATAAAACAATTTAATAAAGAAAGCCTGATACCCCAAAATGCTAATTTAATAGAAAACAACCATAGTATTTCACAAATACTAACGTTCTCTTGCTCCTTTGGGTTCAAATCAATCATTTAATGAATGTTAAAAACAACTTACTCAGTTTTTTATGATATAATATGGTTTGCTATACCTTAAGATCTTGCCTTGTGGCTAGAAGCTCAGATTCCTTCCCATAGAAATCAGACTGAAGCTGTTTCAGAGTTTCCTGACTTTTTCCATAGGTGTTTTGTAATACTGACATTTTTTCTTTCTCTGCTGTGAGCTCCTGTGCTGCCTGTGTTAACTGTTGTTGAAGTTTATTCTCAAGCTCTGTCTGAAACATACAAGTTATTTAAAACATTACGCACATCGAAAACCAATTATAAATATAAAAAGAAATCCACACAACTAAGATTGCTGCCAACAAAATGAACTGCATTTAAACCCTAAAATTATTTTACTTCAGTAAAGAGTAACTTACTTACCATATAGTTATAAAATCGAAGTTACAAAGTCAAATAAACCCCAATTTAAAAAACCAAGAACGCCAAAGCGATTAAAGAAAGAAACAAAAGCAATTCCCTGGGGAAATCCTAAGTACCAAGGTCTCAGGAGACTGAAAGTAACAATTATGTTCTAATGGAGTACGCAGTGCTAGATGGCTCAGAAGATACATAATTTAAGGTTGAACTAAGGGGAACTTCTACATGAAGGATATTTTAAAAAGCCACTACCGTGTTGAAGCATATAATCTCTACTCTTTGAAATTTAAGAACAAGTTAGGAAATCTACAAATCACCTTTATTAATATCAAAACAGAAAAAAATAGGTCCAATTATTCTAAACTCTAGATTTGCTTTAAGTCTTTAAGAACAATCAGGAGATATGTAAAAACTATGACATAACTAAAATATGGGTACCCATACTATAGAAATAAGCTGCTGGCTTTTAAAATAAATATACTATTTCAATGACACTGCTGTTGAGGCCACCAGTGACCACCATGTTCCAAAATCCAACGTTCTTGTCCATGGTCACATCTTACTTGACCTCTTAGCAGTACTTGACATAGTTGATTATGTCCCCTCAAAACATTTCCTCCAACCTGGTTTTGGGGTACTTTGTGTTTTAGGTTCTTCTCCTACCGTACTGGCCATTCCTTCTCAAAATCTTTTACTGGCTCATTTTCTTCTGCTTGATCTCTATATATCACAGGACCCTAGGGTTCCAATCCAGGCCCTCTTTTACTCTATATATACTCTCTCCGTGTAAGATCTCATCTAGACCCATGGCTTTATATATCTTCTATTTACAACTGACTCCTGAACCTATGTCTCTAGCTCCCACCTCTCTGCCTGAATTCTGGGCTCATTATATCCTAGTACTTTCCTGATAGTTCCACTTGGATGACTGACAGACTGCTACCTCAAGCAGAATGCTTGATTCCTGACAATACCCTTTCACATACAAAACAAACAAAAAACTGTTCCTTCCCCAACATGTGGCATTACCATCCCACTTACACAAGCCGCAAACTTAGAGTTATTCTTGATTCCTCTTTCTATTATCTCTTACCATCTAATCTACCAAATCCTGATGACTAACTCCTAAAATTTATCACTAAATCATTCGCTACTAACACTTTAAATCATGCCATCATCATGTGCTGTCTGGATTACTGCAATAGTTTTTCAATGCCTTCCCTGCTTCCCCCTTTATCTTTTAGATTTCATCATTTTCAGCTCAAAATTCTCTACTGATTCTAATTGACTGTAGAACAAAATGTATCATTTTGTGTTATAATCTACAAGGTTTAATGTGTATAATCTGGCTCATCTACTTCTGAGTTAATCTCATATTACTCTTCCCCTCTCCCCCTACACTCAACCCATACTAGTCTCTTTTTAGAAAATACCAAGCTTGTTCTATCCTCAAGGCCTCTGGACTAATTGTTCCCCTGATCTTTTTATGGCTAACCCTTGTAATTTATGTCTCAGCTCAAATCTCTTCAGACAGGCTTCTTTGGTAGCACAACTTTTAGTAGGACTCTCTCTGATAACTACCTTTCATATCATCCTGTTTAGTTTCTTTCCCTAGTTAAGTGTAAGCTCCATTAGAAGAAGTTCTTTTCTGTTTTGTTCACTGCTATATCATCAGCATCTAGAATCATGCCACAGCACAAAATAGGTGGCTGGTAATGTTTCTTGAATTAATGGGTGAATGGCAAACAGATTGGAAGTGGAAAAGGCAAGGGTCTGGGACACCTATTAAGAGGCTATTGCAATGACCCAGAAAAAAAAAAAAAAGAAAATAATATCCTGAACTAAGGCTGTGGCGGAGCCATGGTGGTCCAGTGGTTAAGAGCTCAGCTGCTAACCAAAACGTTGGCAGTTCAAATCCACTAGTGGCTCCTTGGAAACCCTATGGGGCAGTTCTACTCTGTCCTATAGGGTTGATATGAGTCAGAATTGACTCAATGGCAATGGCAACAGGTAAGGCTGTGGCATGGGTAAATGAGAAGACAAGATGGATTCAACAGAGCTAGGAGGAGGATTGACAGAAATTGATGCTCACTGCTTATCACCATACTTATTCAATCTGTATGCTGAGCAAATAATCTGAGAAGCTGGACTATGTGAAGAAGAACGTGGCAGCAGGATTGCAGGAAGACTCACTAATAACCTGCAATATGCAGATGACACAACCTTGCTTGCTGAAAGTGAAGAGGACTTATGGCATTTACTGATGAAGATCAAAGACTACATCCTTCAGTATGGATTAGACCTCAACATAAAGAAAACGAATCCTCACAACTAGACCAATAAGAAACGTCATGATAAACGGAGAAGATAATGAGATTGTAAGGATTTCTTTTTACTTGGATACACAATCAATGTCCATGGAAGCAGCAGACAAGAAATCAAATGACTCACTGCATTAGGCATATCTGATGCAAAAGACCTCTTTAAAGTGTTAAAAAGCAAAGATGTCACTTTAAGGACTAAGCTGCGACTGACCCAATCCATGGTATTTTCAATCTCTTCATATGCATGCAAAAGCTGGACAATGAATAAGGAAGACTGCAGAAGAACTGATGCCTTTGAATTATGGTGTTGGCGAAGAACACTAAATATATCATGGGCTGCCAGAAGAACGAACAAGTCTGTCTTGGAATAAATATAGCCAGAGTGCTCCTTGGAAGTGAGGATGGCGAGACTTCATCTCAAGCACTTTGGACATGTTATTTTTATGAGGTGGGATCAGTCCCTGGAGAAGGACATCATGCTTGGTAAAGTAGAGTGTCAGCGAAAAAGAGGAAGACCCTCAACGCGATGGAATGACACAGTGGCTGCAACAACGGGCTCCAGCATAACAACGATCATGAGGATGGCGCTGGATCGGGCAGTGTTTCGTTCTGTTGTACATAAGGTCACTATGAATCAGAACCAACTCAACAGCACCTAACAACAACCAGCCTATGGCAGGGATGGGGTTGATCTCCCTACACATTATTTGATGACATCCCATGTTATCTCCCTTTTGTAGAGTTCTGTTCCTAATTTTGATTCTTCATACTGAAGAACTCCTAGACAACTTTTTCATGTTGAACACTATAGTTATACTGTCCTTAAACATTTTATTTTCTAGAATATGCTTTAACATTTTTCACAAAACTCATTTTCTTTCCCTTTAATCACCATTATTGCTCTCACCTGGGCCCTTCATAAGGTCTCAGTGATGAGCATAACTGTCCCCTTTGGCTCATGTTTGGGACTTAACATCTTCCCTCTGATTGACAAACTGATTTATTCATTCATTCAAAAACAAAAAGAGAGAGATAGAACTTACTTTCTAGAAAAGACAGTTCCCTGACTTCAAAGAACTCAAATCTATCAGCAACCCTACAGGACAGAGTAGACTGCCCAATAAGGTTACCAAGGCTGTAATCTTTAGATAAGCAGACTGCCGCGTCTTTCTCCTGTGAAGTGGCTGATGGGTTCGAACCACTGACCTTTTGGTTGGCAGCCGAGCGCTTAACCACCACGCCACCAGGGCTCCTTAAATCTACTAGTAGGGAAGTTAAATAAGGAAACAGACAAATATAATCGTTTGATAACTGCTTTAACAGAAGTCAATCTAAAGCTTCAAAGGAGAATACAGGCGGGTCAGTCACCTATAATTTATCCTTCACAAACTGATTGGTATTTGCTCTAAAACACGTATAATCACATTACTCCCTTCCTAAAAAAACTTTAGTTTTCTAATACTTAAAAATTTTAAGTAGAAATAACTACACAACATTCATGGTGATCTGGCTTCATCCCATCCTTTAACCTTCTCTCCCCATACTTCTCCACTTACTGCACTCCAATAGCTAATGGTCTATAATGATATTTTTCAAGTCTTGCAAACTTTGCTAACATTGTTTCCTTCCTTTGAAATGTCTAATTTTCCCCTTTCATTAACTTTTAAAAATTATAATCATTTTCAAAGGACCAATTAACACACTACCTCCTCCAGAAAGTCACTTCTGATCACTCCAGTCAAAATTTCCACCAAGTTCCCATTTTTCTTATATTTCTATTTAAGTTCTTGTTTCATTTTCCCTTCTATTACAGTTTCCTTTTTCTTTACATACCTGCTTCCTTATTAAATTATAAGCAACTTGAGAGTAGAAGGTCATATTTTATTCGTTCTGTATTCCCACATTATGTTTTGAATAAAGTTGGTGCAGGGACTGTTGGCTTATAGCCTGCTTGCTAGATCTTTGATCAGTGGTTCCCAAACAATCTTATGCAAACCCTTTTTAGATAAGCGTATGTACATATACATGTACACCTGTGTGCTTTACGTGTGTGTGAAGATACACATCTATACCCATTTAAACATTATCCTTATTTTTCCTATTTCACTTTGTCATGGACCACCACTGCATGATCCACTACACTGACACTTCCTAACTAAATCATTCTTTCCTATTATACTTCCATATAATATCCAACAACTTGTTTTATTTGCACATTGCAGTGGGCACAGTACTAAGTACCTTAAATACATTATCTCAATCCTCACAACAACTCTATGACTGCATTTTATTAAACTCAAAAAAAATGAATTACTTCTCTATGGCCAGAAAGCTAATGTGTGTCACAAATTAATTTATATGCACATAGCAACAGCAGGGAAAAATTCAGTTTGTTCAAATATTTTATACTAAGTACAATCTATTTTTATCAACTCCTGGTCTGGACAAGTATTAAAATCTTTTTAAGAATGAAAAATGGATCCTTAATAATAAATTAGAATAGGTTTGGAAATGGAAACCATTATGATGTAACTTAAAATATCAAACAATTTTAACCATATGACTCTAGTAGTACTGATTTTTTTTTAATATTTACCACTTTGTGGCTTTTGTTCTTAATCGATCATCTTCCCTTAACAAAGATGATCTATAGGCAAAATATCTTCAAAATTTCCTAATACACTAGAAATGTTACATATATTATTCTCTAACTTTATGTGTTAGTTATACATTATTTTACAAAAAGGCAGTTTCACGTCAATCTAAAAAGACAAATGATTAGTGCTAGAAGTTTAAATAATAATCTGACAATATGATTATACTGAATGGAAATCCAGACTTAAATATGTAATTATATAATCAAGTGCTTTTATACATTTTAACTTAGAAATATTTTGAACATATCTTAACCTTTGTATGTTGCAACTCATCTGTGTTAATCATCCTATTATCTTAATTGCAAAGTTTTTCTTCTCATAAAAAGTAAATAAATATCACTACCTTCTGTGAAACAGCAATTTTAATCTCTCCTTGGAGTGCTTCAATTTGCTTCTTCTTCTGTTCAGTCAATTGCTTGAGCTCATTTATGTTTCCCTGAAGTTGTTGCTCTTCTTTTTCCTTTTGTTTTAAAGTATTCTGGGCCTGTGCAACTTGTCCTTGCATTGAATTAATCTCCAACTTCAACTGATGACATGTCTAAAAGAAAATAAAAGCTGTTTGGAATTCATTTATTCATTCAACAAATATTTATTGACAACCTGCTATGTGCCAGGCATGTTGAAACTACTGAGCCTGTTGGTCACAGGTAATCAGTAGAAAACAGAAGAAAAAGCTCCCTCACAGAGCTTTCATAACTGACATTATTTGCTATTAGAAAACACGATGAATTCATCTTCAATATTTGCTTAATCCTACCTTCCTTTTTTTTTTGAACTTATGAATGTATATTTGAATACAGGTTGTAAATGTACTAGACTAGTATACCTTTGTATCACAGGAAATAGAAATGTAAGCATCAATTTAAAGTGTTGGATAATGTCTATTGTTTTACAAGGATATTCTCAAGAAGCTACTGAGCCTATGGGCCACAGGTAATCAGAAAGAATAGCTCCATATTAACTATGATAAAACAAAAATCATTTTGGCAAACATATTTAGCATCTGTCAACACTAAACTATATTGCACAATAGTTAAGTCATTTGGAAATCTGGGGCATATTTTGCTACGACTTTGTTTTTGCAATCCACTAGAATATATTTCTGTTCAAAATTAGACATCATAAAGAAGTCACACTGAGGATCCTCAGTGGCCAAGATGGTCTACTACTCTCTCCTGCCCTTCCAGCCAAAGTCATATTTTCATGCTTTATGCATATTTCATTAAAAATCTAGTTTGAGCATTTGATCATATTCAGTTACTTTCAAAAAAGTTTTGAACTATATACAGATGCCTCAGCTTATTCCCAACACCAAGGAGATATTTTTGTGAAATGCAAGAGTAAGGTAATATAACAAGAATGATGATGATTTAAAAAAAAAAAAATAGCATTTAACATTTGAGCATTTACTTCGTTACAGTTAGTGTTCTAAATCATTTAAACATATTAACCCATTTATTTCTCAAAATAACTCTGTAAGCAGATTCTATTATTAGCCCCATTTTACTGCTGAAGAAACTGAAGCACAGAGAGATTAAGTAATCTGCCCAAGGCAAGGCAAAACAGACTAGGTAATAAATGGCATAGCCAGGATATAAGCTGATTGGTGCCTGGGCACTGAATAATTTCTCCACTTACATGGGTGGCATCTACAGCACAGGTGACTTTCAGTCAACAACCAAAATACAATCCTATCAAACACTTGCCAGGCCTAGGTTTTGTTGGTTTATCAAATCAGATTTCTAGAAAGCTACATACCTAGACTTAGCTTCCAAACAATATAACACACAGAGAATAACAACCATATACTACATCCATTTATTTACTTGTTTCCTTGTTTGTTTTTGCTGGAGATCAATAAAAGCATTAACCATAGAAATGTCTGTTGGCTGTTATACAACCATTATTAAATATACTATTAATATAACTGTCCATGAGATAAAGAGTCCTGGAAAGGTAATTTCAATGGAAAGTCTATAAAGATTTTTTTTTCAACCACATAATGTTGTGAGATAGATTACTAATTATAACTCTATAGTTAGTTGACTCAATTTTCTACCCTTATGAATTGTATTCCATTATTTGAGTCTTTTATTATAAACTAGCTCAAATCTTTTTAATAGTAGGTAGAACACAAAAAATAATTTTAAACTATGTATATGTGATCTATTACATTTCAGAGAAATAAACTTTTCTTTCATCTAAGTACAATATGAAAATAACGAAAAAAAAAAAAACACCAAACCCATTGCCGTGGAGTTGATTCTGACTCACAGCGACACTATGGGACAGAACAGAACTGCCCCATAGAGTTTCCAAGGAGCAGCTGGTGGATTCAAACTGCCAACCTTTTGGTTAGCAGCCTGAGCTCTTAACCACAGCGTTACCAGGGCTCCAATTTGAAAACATAAAAATCTTATTATGCTTTACATATTTTATACTACAGAAAAAAGAAAATCACACCTCCTTCTCTTGTTCCAGTGACTTTTTCAGTTCATTCTGTTCTTGAAGTGTGCTTTCCGTCTGTACTTGAAGTTGATGCTTCAATTCTTTGCAAGTTTTTTCCTTAAAAAAAATGGAAACTATATTACACAGAAAATATTTATGGTAAGTTTAAGAAGTTTATTATTTATGTTTAGTAGTATCCATGCAAGGAAATAAACTAAAATCATTTATGGGCTAAGATAGGATAGGATCATCCATTTCAATAATAGAAAAAATTATAAAATATATTATTATAGCAAAAGGCTAAGGGTTTCCATCATCAACCAAGTTCTCGACATATAAAGAAAAGAGCAATGACTCCATTCTATTCTCTCAGGTGTTTATACTCACTCTCAGAGACTAGAACATAAAGTTAATGGTTGTAGAGTGTACATAAGCAATGCATACTCATAGACAAATCACCATAAAATATTTTAGGCATCTAAAAACGTGGTTTTCAAAGTGTTCTAATTAAACTATTTTAGAATACTTTGGAAACCACTTTTTTATGTTACAGAATTGATTATAATTAATTAAATTGTCATCCTATTTTAAAAGCAGAACAATGGGCTTCAAGAAAATGGAAGCAAAATTATAGAAAGAAAAAAGCAGTAAAACAATGAATTTTTTAAAATCACATATAACTAAAGAGGGAAGACGTACAGACAGAAGATGCTTTCTCCAAATAGAAAGGTGCACAAAGGCAACATGCTATACGATGTATTTATTTTAAACTACTGAACAGTATACTCTCACTGACCTTTATACTGAGACCAGAAGAGCCTAACTTTTGTTGTCACTCTATGCTATTCCAGGTTAAAATATTTCTGAGAATACATTCCCATTTAATTTCCTGAGATTGCAATTTTTCTTTAGAGTTTAAATATGTTTTATGGTATCTCTAACAAATATAGAAGGCATGCATTATTTGCATAAAAACATGGTATCTGGAATTTTAGAATATTCAAAAGAATTAGAAAGTTTTTAATAACAGAGTTAAAAGAGTTATCCAGACCTTTCTGGTCTTTCTGCCCATCCCTCGAGACAAGTGAATCTTTCAACTAGTAGTTGTATTCTCTGTGGACAAACATACTGAAGTCTCTCCCAAATCTAACATCATACCAGCAATAGAGGAAGACTATTATATTCAAGTGAAAATGTCCTTGGCCTTTAAAAAGTTATATATACGTGTGTGTGTGTGTGTGTGTGTGTGTGTGTGTGTGTGTCATTATCTTGGGCTGTCTTTCTCAAGTTAAGCAATTCTAATTATTTATAAAAATTATTTTATATCATCTAAATGCTGGATTAAAAGTCAGCAGTAAATTAGGCAGAAAAACCAGTGAATTTTAAATAATCACTTCTTCCTGAGAATAAAAATGTAAACAACTAACCAATTCTAATATAGCAGCTTTTCCTTTTTGATTTTCCTTTTCAAGTTCACTTCTGGAGTTTTTCAAAGAATCAGAAACTTTTGATAATTTCTCTTTTGTTGCAGAAAGTTCTGTTATTAGAGTTTCTTTCTCCATCTTTACTTTTTGTAGTTCTGTTGCTGCTGCTTGAATTCTGTTATTCAATTCCTGGTGCTGCATCTTTGATTCTTGATTTAAATTTTCAATTTTTTGTTTAAGAATTACTTTTTCTTTCTCTTGCTTGGTAAGCGTTTGCTTAATATTTTCAAGGGCTTCAGATTTTTTCTGTAGATCCAATTTTGTACTGGATACTCTAAATATGAAAGAAATAATTTTATAAAAAAACTGCATAATTTATCATCTCTAATCTTCCATTAAAATTAATAAATCATTGATTTTTTAAACATCCTTACATAATTTAGACGTAAAAATAATAATGCAGTTTCATAAAACTGAAAAATGCCTCAGATCATCTGACTTAACAATTTAACAGACGAAGATGATTTTCCTCAAATTATACAAGTTAGTGGCAAAGCCAAGACCACCTAAGCCTTCTGACTTAATCTGTTCTAATCCACTACAACAGATTCCGAAAGGAAACTATGTATATAGCAGACCCCCTTTTCTACAATAGCCAGAAAAGATCTTTCCACGTACCCTAAAGAACCTCTTCTTTGTGCTAGCCGTGAGTACATAAAGGACTTTGCCTCTTTCCTTGCAAAGATAAAATCTGTTTGACAAGTCTTAAACTTCAAAGCACTTAAAGAAAAAATAAAGTAAAAAAATGAAGACATTTTATTTCTAAAATAGAGGAAAGGAAAAAGATTTACTTTAATCATTGAAACTACAAGGGATTTGCTATCATTTGTCCTTTAACATTTATTATACCTGAATAAATAAGTGATAAGAACTAGGAAATGAAGACTGAGCTTCAGGAATGTTGACCTATAAACTTTTACTTTTATAAAAGGAATTAAATTATGCATATTATGCAGGGAAAAAAAAACAAACATTAAAGATCAACCATTCTCTAAAGTCAAAATAAAACCCTATGCAAAGTAACAATATTTATAGAATGCATGCTATTTCCAATATACTTTATAATCATTATAAAGGGAGGTTGTTAAAAGATGTATTAGCCACATATTTGAAATTGGATATTAATGTAATACTAGAACTATTTATACCTGAAATTTTCTAACTTTTAGTCCCAGAAACTTGCTTTCACCTTCTAAAACATAGTTAGAAAAGATGCTAAAGTACATTCATAAGGATATTTTGTACTTCACTGATTTTTAAAGGTCTAAATAGAAAAGTCATCTCACTAACATTATTTTACCATTTTAATATAATTAAAATCCCTGTCAAGTAACCCTAAAATTAGACTTCATATATTTACTATTCTAACTTTTCTATGTTATTGTTATAAAATCATAAGATTATGTGAATCATAGAAGGCAAAATAGAAATAAAGGCATAAATAGTTGCTGTAAAACTTTGTTCTTTTTAAAAAAAGAACTAAAGGGAGAAATGAACAAATCCACAATCATAGTTGAAAGTGTTAACACTTCTTTCTCAGAAATTGACAGAACCACCAGAGAAAAAATTAGTAAGGCTATAGAAGATTAGGACATTATCAATCACCATGATCTAACTGGTATTTATTTATACAACACTCTACCTACAACACAGAGTACATCTGGAAAGTAAATAACACACTTCCAAATAATCTATGCATCAAAGGATAAATGTTTGCATGAAGTATACAGGCAGAAAAGATCTTAGTCTTGAAAGTTTTTCTATCCCAATACGAAGTGGGAGTGATTTCTGAACCAATAAGTGGAAAGAACCATTGAGCCTACAGGGACCTTGGAGAAGAGAACAAGAACTAACTCAGAGGGGATCTATATGGATTGATTACTGGGATCCAGAGATAACAACAGACCATAAGTAGATGATATTAAGGATCAGATGTGCTCCCTCAATACCAAGGCACTAGAAACGATGATGTTAACAGTGAGAAGGAATGCCACTTTAGGCAAAGAATGCACCTCTATATCCTCCAATTCAAAGTGCCAGAACCCAATTTACTGTATTTGAGAAAAAGAAAATTTACATCATCACATCCCAAAACAGGGATGAAACCAAGAAAGTATAAAACAACTCAATTATCACCAACTACGATGAGTTTTAGTTCAACTCCCTGAAGAGTACTTTTCCCAGGCTTTCAGCCTCTGCCTTTACTACTGGGGCAAGGGCCCTCATCTCCCTGACCCAGGCCAAGTCTTTCGACTCACTCAGAGTGACCTACCTGGCATTTAAAGACAATGGATAAAGAAGACCGAAGAAGAACTGATGCCTTTGAATTATAGTGTTGGAGAAGAATACTGAATATACCATGGACTGCCAGAAGAATGAACAAGTCTGTCTTTGAAGAAGTTAACAGCCAGAGTGCTCCTTAGAAGTGAGGATAGCAAGACTTGTGTCTCATGTATTTTGGACATGTTATCAGCAGGGGCCAGTCCCTGGAGAAGGACGTCATGCTTGGTAAAGTAGAAGGTCAGTGAAAAAGTTGAAGACCTTCAACGAGATGGACCGACTGCAACTATGGGCTCAAACATAACAACAACTGTGAGGATGGCACAGGACCGAGTAGTGTTTCGTTCTGTCGTACACAGGGTTGCTGTGAGTCGGAACTGACTCGATGGCACCTAACAACAACCACCTCATACTTAATGGTAAAATGTTTAATGTTCCCCCTAATAAGATCAGAAACAATGCAGGATGTCTGCTATCACTATTTGTGTTCAAAATTTTACTGGCGGTTCCAGCCAGCAATAGGTCAAGAAAAACACATAAAGGTTTACAGACTGTAAACGAAGAAGTAAAAGCCAACAACAACAAAAAAAAAAACAGAAAACCAAAACCCACTGTTGTTGAGTCGATTCCGACTCATAGCGACCCTACAGGACAGGCAGAACTGCACCCATACGGTTTCCAAGGCTATAAATGTTTACGGAAACGGACTGCCACATCTTTTTCCTGTGGAGCAGCTGGTGGGTTCGAACCACTGACCTTTCAGTTAGCAGCTGAGCGCTTTAACCACCAGGGCTCCTCCAGGAAGAAGTAAAACTGTCTCTACTTCAGAGATAACATGATATGGGTACCATATGATTGTTGAAAAGAGACTAGATGACCCAAATCTCATAAAACCAAGTTTTTTAAATTTTTTGTAGTGAAGTTTAACCATATTATGATGGCTTTATTTTTCATTCAAATTAACATTAGCAGTTTATAAAATCAACACAATACAAATATTTAATAAATCTTTAAGCATCGTGATACCAAAATTAAAATCTTAAGGAGATTTTAATACTTAGTTTATAATCCTCCCCCTTAATTTATAAGCAAAGTAGGTTAGCTTACATTTCTTTCTCCATTTCAAGTTGTTTATTCAATTCTGTGGCTCTGAGCTCTAAATCTCTGCTCAGCTGTCTTTGCTGCTGTAGATCCTGCAAAGCTTGCTCCTTGCTTGCTTTAACTTCAACAGTATCAGCTTCTAGTTTCTATGGAAGAAATATAGTATATATAGCCATTTTAATGTTAGTAATATCTATCTGTTTCGTTCTGTTGTACATAGGGTCTCTGTAAGTCAGAACTGACTCAACGGTACCTAACAGCAACAACAATATCTATTATTAAATACTATAGCATTTTATTTATACATAAATTGGTGTTGACAATACAAAAATAGCTATAAAATACTTATGTTACAATAAAAAACATTCTGAAACCATTATTGAGTAATGGGGCTATTTATCTTGGAATATTTCAGAGGACTTAAAAAGACTTTATACATGATAGGCAGTCACTAAGTATTTACTTTATAAAAACTAACTCTGAATAAGAGAATAAACTTAAAATAAATATAAAGCATAAAACAAGCAGAAATAAGGGTAAAAGTCATTAACTCAAGTACAAAAATAACAGGTTCACACATGTGCTCACTCAAAATATATTATCCCTTATAGTTAAAAACATTGATGTAATTATACATATCCAAAACTAGAAAGCAATTGTCATGTAGTCCTTATTAATACACATACACACATGCACGCACACGCTTTTTTTAATAGTAACTTGAGAAATTTTTAACTGAAGCAGATAATTAAACTTTATTACCTTTATTCTCTCTACTACCAAACAATAAATTATTTTTAATAAACTTTCAAATGATAGAGGAGTTCCAATTTAAAGGACTCAGGGTTATGTAAATCCTTCTCTGTTATGTCTAATCATAGGTAACCTCTTAATAAATCAACCCATTCACTTAGAGTTGTATAAAAATAAGACATAGTTAGATGGCCTAAATTATTATTTAATTAGAAGCAAAATCCAAAGGTTATAGACATAAAGTTTAGAAAGGAAAAGGTATACCACATCTGAAATATTATGTTGGAATAAGGAGATAAGGAGATGGAAGAAGGAAGAAACAGAAGACACTTCACAACAACAATAACATGGTAAGTTTCCTGAAATTACAGAGTAGTTCCCTGGATGGCTGTCTCTTTGAAATAGTTATACAATACAAGGAAGCAGTATATATGCTGTCATTTGTAAAAGCCACACAATAATGAAGAAATAAAAAGTAAAGATGGAATTCAAAAATAAGACATTAAAAAATTACAACTAATTAAATTTTATACCACAACTACAACCTTTCTTTGTTAATTAAAAATCTTTGATTCTATCTACGTCATCAGTTTTCATTACTATAGCAGTAGACAATTTGGCTAAATTCAATTTCTTTTATACAAACCTTAATTTGACCTTCTAGCTCTTCAGTTTTCTGTTCTAAAGAGAGATGTTTCTCTTTATATTCTTTAAGATGACTTTCCAGCTGACTGCAGTGCTCTTGCCTGTCCTGCAACTTTGTAGTTACCTGATCCAATTGAGTAGTGATCTTATTTAACTCCTATAGAAAAGTACAATTGAAGAAAACTTTGATAAGGTTTACTTTATTGTAGTACTCAAATGTTCAAAGTAAAATTGAAAACTCTGATTTTACTTAAGAAACTATTGAGGGTAAGACCTCAAACAAGTCACATGATGTCTCAGAGGCTGTATTTATGCACTCATATAAAACAAAGGTGAGCCTTCGTGGTGCAATGGTTATGTGCTCGGCTGCTAACCAAAAAGTCAGCAATTCAAACACACCAGCCGTTCCGAGGGAGAAAAGACCTTGCCATCTGCTCCTGTAAAGATTACAACCTAGGAAACGCTATGGGACAGTTGTACTCCGTCCTATAAGGTCACTATGAGTCAGAATCTACTAGACACACACAACAACATAAAATAAAGGACCTGAACTGAAGCCTTGCATAGTTTATATGCGTAACAATTTAATAACTTTTCAATGTTTTTCTAAGAAAAGTTATTTTAGAAGCCAAAATATACAATAGAATATTAAACATGCCAATAGTAAAATGATACTTTTATACTATAATTAAACATTTTCAAAGTTCAGGATACCATTTTAAAAATAACATTTAAAAACTATATTCCAGTGATCTATATAACACCTGATCAATTCATCTGGAATATCCAACAGCACAGAAAGAACAAAATAAAAATTACTAGTGTATCCACAACCCAGATAATCACTGTTAATGTTTTGATAACTCTGCTTCCAGTCTTTTCTGTATGTTAGTTTACGTATTTTTTTCTTTGATCTTTTACAATAAAAACAGGAACTCATTTTACATAGTTTTATTGTAACATCCTTTGATTTTATATAACAAAGCATCATAAAACTTTGGTTTTTTTTATAATGCCATTATACTTGATTGCATAAATTTCCATTTCATGGATATAGTTCATTTTTTAGCCAAATATCCCATTTGAGAGGCAAAGACCGCTACTAAATTTTATGCATTTATTAGCAGAGATGTAAATAGCATCCTTAAAGCTATGAATAGTCCCTTAAGACAAAAACACACAGACTGAACTAAAGAATACAAAAAATTCTAGGTTTTTTAAAATATATTGCCAAATAATTCCCCCACCAAAAGGCTGAACTAATTTATACTACCGTTAGCAATGTATGGAAGTGATTTATTCTTCCACAACCTCTCCAACCATCTCCACCTCTCCAGGGAAAATGTATCCTATTATTGTTTTAATTTGCAACTGATTCTTAATGAACTTGAACATTTCCTAATGTAGTTTTGATCATTTATATTTCTTGTAGGGCTACTTTTCTCTATGTTAAAATGTTTTAAATATCAAGGATATTAAGCCTTCATCAGATATACTTCAGAAAATGTTTTATCCTTTTGCTATTTGCCTTAGAATTTTGTTAATAATGTTTTAACAGATAAATTTTAAATTTTTGTGTGGTTATTTTTATAATTTTTTGTGGTTTCTTACTCTGATCTTGTGCTTAGAAAATACTCTCCAGATGTATTTAACAACATATATAGTGTGATTCCACATGTACTCAAGGAAAATAGGATTGGGGCTAAGGGTAAGCATAGGAAAATGTTTTTTTTAACTTGATATACTTCTATATTGTTAAAAAATTAAAGCAATAACTACTATTACTTCTTGCATAATAAATAAATTTTAAACATTTCTACCTGGTAAAAGGTAAGAAAAATCTACGAACATTTTGACCTTGACCATAAAATACACCAAAAATAAATAAATAAATAAACAAAACTCACTGCCATCAAGTCGATTCCAACTCACAGTGATCCCTATAGGAAAGAGTAGAACTGCCCCACAGGGTTTCCAAGGAGCAGCTGGTGGATTCGAACTGCCAACCTTTTGGTTAATAGCCATAGCTCTTAACCACTGCACTACCAGGACTCCATAAAATAGGAAGCTTCTATTCTATCACAAGTGTTGAGGAAACATCTGTATTCCCTCTAGCCCCCACTGACTTCTACCCCTCAAGAAAGGAGAGTAAGTCTCACATTTGAGGTGGAATACACAGTGCTCTTTTCCTCCTTCCAAGCAGTAAGTACACCTGGGTCACAGTACTAAAAACAGGTGTGGAGGTCTCTCTCTCTCTCTCTGTTTCCAAATCATTGGCACTTGATAGGATGAGGCAACAATTAGGAGTAAATGTATCAGTTCCACATCATGGTCTAAGCTACTGAAGAAATACAGTATTAGGAAGCCCAACCACAATTGCTTCTTTAAGTCAAGCACACCAGTTGAGCTTTATCAAAATCAAAACTGATATTGTGAATCTGTGTCTGCCTGACTCCTGCATCTGTTACTCAATTAGCTCTCAACTAAAGGAGGAATTAAGGGGCATAAGCAAGGCTATCACAAGATTCTGTAAAACTGGGTATCATTTTAACACGTTTGCAATTAATTTATCTACTAAAGCACTAGGTTATGGTATGAAATTGCATCAGGTTTCCCTACCTGCTGTTTATCTTGTAATGCATTTTGTGCTGTATCCAAATGATTCTGAAGGTCTGCTCTTTGAGCAGTTTTCGCTGCTTCTGCTGATAGTAATAATTCAGTTTTGGCTTTAATCTGTAACAAAATATACAAGTTATTTAATTTGTATTTAGTTCTTAATTTCCCCTTGCTTGAATACGTACTGCTTTTATTATTAAATTATTTAAAAAATTAGGTCCTTTGGTGAAATTCATAAAGATTTAGACAATGAAAAAATATGTATGTGAAAATCCCCAAAACAGGAATATGAGTAGGGAAGAAAACTCTTAATGTTTGGATAAATGATGAAAAGATGTTCCTACATGGCACCAAAACAGTACCATTTTGCTAAGAAAAAGAAGGTATACTTTTTTATTGAAAAGGGCCACTGTATTTTTCAGAAGTGGACATCTGAAGTTTGCCTACTATTATAATAAATTAAATAGCTATGCCAAAGGAAATGATGGCTCCAAAGATAATCAAGACTTCCAGAAATCCAAAATTCAAAATAACCAGACTATGGCAAATTGAAACTGGAAACACTGCGTGAAATTCAGTATCCCCTGATAAATTTTCACTTAAAAAGTTTTTACTTTTGATGTGCATAAAAAGTCAAGAAATGATACATAAAAAATTCAAGGCTTTCAACAATAAGCTTCAAATAAAATCAAACAAGCAAAAACATCTGTCTTGCTATCAAAAGTAACACTTTTAAAAACTTTGAATAACTTTAGTACAACTCACTTCAAAAAAGCAAAAAAGTAGAAAAATGATAAACACTATTTGCAATTAAAGTACCGAGAAAATGGGAAAAGGAGGACACTCCTCCAGCTGGTTGAAGAGAGGATTGATGAAGGTAAGAAATGTAAGATTTATACTGCATGGGTAATTTTAAGCAGAAATGAAAAAAATTCAAAGAACCCTTTCTCAAGAACTACTTACATTTTCACAGAAACAATGGTCGTATCAAGGTATACGCATCTACACTGAATTAAAACTAAAAACTAAAGATATCTATACTTTAAATGATATGTAGTACATTATACTAAATGATAAATGTATAGCATAGACTATGAAGAATATATAGTCTTCATTTACATATGACATTTTACCTACTGGAGGAATAAAAAATTAAGGAAATATTTAAGAGTATGATAACTGCTCATCATCTTTTAATACAGGTATGCTTCAATTAATGGGATACATCTTCCAAAATCATGTTACGCATAAAGAAAATTTGAGGGGAATTAAGTAATAGTTCCACTGGTTTATCTTATCTTGGAAATGCTTCTCATGGAGGATTAAAAAATGTAGCTGTCCATGAAACGAGCCCCTTTGTTGATCCTTTCTGTGCAATAAATTCAGACTTGACTAAGAAGTACCAATTGCCAAAAAGGCATTGTTACAACTTCTACATTAAATCCCTTAAAATAGTAAGAGCCTGAAGAGCCCTCTCATGATGTAGTGACATATATGTATGTAATTTACCTTGATGCTGTCATGATCATGCATACTAGGAAATAACTTGGAAGTATGGATTAAAAGGTACACAGGACTGAAAACTAGAAAACAGTTTAAAATCACATCTGTGTACTTAAAGGCACACTCCATCAAAAATGTTACTTTATCTGCCTTTCTTTAGCACATTTAAAGGAAAGTCACAGCCAATACCCTTTGGCCAAATATTTCTGGTTGACATTCTCTTATTAATACTATCACTAAAAGCACTAGAAGTTATCAGATTCCCAATCCTTGGAAGAAAAGTAACGCCATACATCCTACTTTATGAACTAACACTAGTTCATAAAGAAGTTAAAGCACTTTAGAGAAAAGTCTCAAAAACTGAGAAATACCTATAGGTACCATTTTTTAAGAACTAAAAGCGAAGAGCAGTTTATTGCTAAGGTAGTAAAGACAGCAATGATAGTAAGAAAAACTGGCTGATATGATAACTAGTTCTCAGGTTCTCAGATAAACAGCAGTGGCAGTATTTTGTAAAGGGAAGGATCTTGCAATGCAAAAAAGAATCAAAGACTACCTTAATCTACTCATTCATACATTTTCCCTCCCCCTACTCCTTCTCTCCAGTCCTCCCTCCCTCCATCACTTTTCTCTCTCTGTCTTAATTTTGGCATCCACATATTGGACTATCATATAACTCATCAAATAAACTATTATACTGGAAAAAAAAGTGGACTCTTTATCCAAGTTCTAATAAATACATGTTATAATATTTTATTATTATATTTCTTACTTCTAATGGAATAATTATCCTAAAATAAAGAAAATTAAGGCTTAGAAATATTATATACCCCAACACTACTGGCACGAATCAAAAAAACAGAAGATACCAAAAGTTAGAGAGGCTGCGGGGAGCTTGGAAATCTTACGCACTTCTGGTGGGAATGTGAAATGGTACAACCATTTTGGAAATCGATATGGTGCTTCCTTAAAAAGCTAGAAATAGAAAGACCACACGATCCAGCAATCCCACTCCTAGGAATATATCCTGGAGAAATAAGAGCTGTCACATGAATGGACATATGCATACCCATGTTCACTGCAGCATCATTCACAATAGCAAAAAGACAGAAACAACCTAAGAGTCGATCAACAGATGAATGGGTAAACAAACTATGGTACATATACACAATGGAATACTATGCAATAATAAAGAATAATGATGAATCAGCAAAACATCTCACAATATGGATGAATCTGGAGGGCATTATGCTGACTGAAATAAGTCAATCACAAAAGGACAAATACTGTATGAGATCACTACTATAAAAACTCATGAAAAGGTTTACAAACAGAAAGAAACAATCTTTGATGGTTACTAGGAGGGTAGGGGTTGGAACAGAAAAATACTAAAAAAAAAAACAAAGAAATATTATATAACTTTTTCTCTGCTATAGTACAGAATAAGAAACCAATGATGAGAATAGAAAAAGAAATATGTCTTAATTCCCACTCCCTGATTAGCTCATTGAGCAAGACTGCTACATTGGCCTCTGAAAGAATATACATATATAATGGTACTATATAAAGATTTCTTTTAAATCAAATCTTCAAAGTAAGATTAAAAAGTAAAAGTTAAAAAATATTTGACGTGGAAATCTAACGGTATAACAGTAAACTAATTTAAGCTTCAAAAACAGTAACAAGAACTTGATCAAAACAAAGAAAAGCAAAGATCCAACAGATTCAGGAGGCATAATTTGCCAGAAGAGAAAAAAAAGAGGCAAACAGGAAAGCTCAATAAACTGTCTAGATATCATCTTCATCTAATTCCCACACTCAATTTGTTAATATTAACTGGTAAGGCAAAAGAAAAAACAGTATCATAATTTAAAACACTTCATGGTCTAAAAATGATGCGTTATTCATACAAACTCATTTGAAATAACATAATTTTAACATTACCTGTATGTCAAGCTGGGAGACCTTCTCCTTACTTTCATTTAATTGACTATTCAACTCATTGACACTGGTTTCTAAGGAAAGGACACGGTCTTGTGCAGCTCTAAGATGGGCCTTCTGCTCCTGCACCTGATCATGCAAATTTTCCTGGGCTTGTTTATGGCTTTCTGACTGATTCTTCAGCTTCTCTGTTAGTTGAGTTACCTATCATACAAGCAAGACACTAAGTAGGAAGTTTACAAATGATATAACAAGAACTAAAAAGCCCAAATTTAAGCACCATGAGTATATTAAACTGCTCTAAGATAGCACAGATCAATTTTTTTTCAAATAAAATTGTTCACATCTTTCCAAAAATAAGTATATTATCTCAAAATCATAAGAAATAACATGAAACACAAAGATTTTTGTATTTGCTAAAATCAACCTTATTGAGCTATATTTCTATGAAATAAAATGCATCCAATTTAACTGCACACCTTGAAGAGATCTGATGAATGTATATACTCATTTAACCACCAAAACCAAACAAAACCCATTGCTGCTGAGTTGATTTTGACTCATAGTGACCCTAGAGGACAGAGGAGAACTGCCCCATAGGGTTTCCAAGGAGCAGCTGGCGGATTCAAATTGCTGACCGTTTGGTTAGCAGCCAAGATCTTAACCACTGCAGCACCAAGGCTCCCATTTAACTACCACCAGAATAAAAATACAGAATATTTCCATTATCCCAAAGAGTTTCCTCAGAGCCCTTTGCAGTCAGTACCTCCCACCCATCTCCAGCCGAAGGCAAGCACGATCTGACTGAACAATAAGAGTTCCTTATATATTCTGGATATTTCTGAATTATCAAATATACGTGTTGCAAATATTTTCTCCCAGTCTGTGTCTTGTCTTTTATTTTTTTATAATAGTATCTTTTGAGGAACATGTATTTTTAATTTAGACAAAATCCAATTCATCATTTCTGTTTCCCTTTATAATTAGGGCTTTCTCTTTTGAAGAGCATATATTCTTAAATTAGATGAAATCCAATTCATCATTTCTGTTCTCCTTTATGATTAGAGCTTTTTGTGTACCACCTAAGAAATCAGTCTACCCCAAGGCCACAAAGATTTTCTCTTTTTTTTTTCCCCCCTGAGAACTTTATAGTTTTAACTTCTTTGTTTAGGTTTATTATCCATTTTGAGTTAATTTTTTTTGTGTATTGTGTGAGGGGGGTCAAAGTTCATTTATTTCCATATAGATATTCAGTTGTTCTAGCACCATTTGTTAAAAAGACTATCCTTTACAATTAAGTTACCTTGGCATCTTTTCAAAAGTATTGACTATATGTGTGTGTGTCTATTCTGTTTCAGGGATCTAACATCCATCCATATACAACCACTACTCGATCTTGATTACTGTAGCTTTACATAAAGTCCAAAAATAGGTAACAGAAATACTCCAATCTCATTATTTTTCAAAACTTATTTGGCTATTTCAAATCCTTTGTTACCATATAATTTTTAAAACTAGCTTGTCAATCTCTACACAAAAACCTGCTATATTTTGATTCATATGGCTATGAATTTCTAGAGTACTCTGGGGAAAAATACCACTTTAACAATACTGAGTCTTCTAATCCATGGACACGATATGTTTCCTTAGAACTTCTCTAATTTTTCTCAGCACAGTTTTGGTATAAAGTTCTTCTACATCTTGCATCAAATTGATTCCTAAGTGTATTATGTTTTCTGATGTTATTGTAAATGGTATTTTTATTTCATTTTCCAATTATTTCCTAATATAAATACACTTATTTTTTGTATATTTTTATCCTACAGCCTTGCTAAATTCAAATTAATTCTAAAGGATTTTTCTGTAGATTCCTTAGGAGTTTGTATGTAAACAATCTCGTCATCTGGTGACGCAAAGGTCATTTTACTTCTTATTTTTTTATACGTGTTACGTCTTCTTCTTGGCTTGCTTTTAAGAGTTTTCTCTTTATCACTGATGTTTTGCAATTTTACAATGATGTGTTTTTATGGGGTTTTCTTTGGTGTATCTTGCTTGGAGTTGATTCAGCTTCTTGGATCTGTGGATTTTTTTTTGTTGCTGTTGTTGAGAATATACCCAGAAACACACTAACTCAACCATTTATACATGTACAATTCAGTGACACTGATTACATTCTTCAATTTGTGCAGCCATTCTCATCCTCCTTTTCTGAGTTGTTCCTCCCCCTTTAAGATAAACTCACTGCCCCCTAAGGTTTCTATCTAATCTTTAGAGGTGCTATTATCAATTTGATCCCATACAGATAGTTCTTAAAAGAACATAAAGCTCAAGGCAGACATTTTTTACTAGTTGAGCTAAACTATTATTTGGTTTTAAAAAGACTTCAGGGGATATTTTTGGTTTAATTTTTAAAGATTATCTCAGGGCAACAGTTTCAGGGTTTCATCCAGCTCCATGGCTTCAGAAAGCCTGGTGTCCATGAGAATTTGAAATTCTTCTATAGAATCTTTGATCAAAATGTTCAGTAATGGTAGCTGATCACCATCCAGTCCTTCTGGTCTCCAGGCAAAGCTGGCAGTTGTTCATGGAGGCAGTTAGCCACACATTCCATACATTCCTCCTATTTCTGACTCTCCTTCTTACTCTGTTGCTCCAGGCAAATAGAAACCAACTGTCATGCCTGGGATGGCCACTTGCAAGCTTTAAGACCCCAGGCACTGTGCAACGAACTACAGGATAGAACTAGTAGAACAGAAGAACTGAACACATTATCAGGCCAATTAACTGGCATGTCCCATTAAACCATGGCCCTAAACCTCTAAACCAAGGAATCAAATCCCATGAGGAGTTTGGTTGTACATAAGCAGTCTTAGCAGTGTACTCTTTGTTGTTGTTGTAAATATATCTACCACATAACTTTTGCCAGTTCAACTTTTGACAGGTGTAGAACAGGTGTATTGTAATTGACAGTAATTACAATAACTGGCTGTGCAACCCTACCTTTATCAATGCAATTTTTCCGTCACCTTTAATCCGACCTTCCACACCGGGTAATCACTAATAAACTTTGTTGTCTATACATTTGTCTTTTTATATAAGTGAGGTCATACAATATTTGTCCTTTTGTGACTGACTTATTTCACTCAGTATAATGTCTTCCAGCTCCATACATATTGTAGCATGTATCTCCTGCTGGCTGAGTAGTATTCCACTGTACGTATGTACCACATTTTGTTTATCCATTCATCTGTTGCTGGGCATTTACGCTGTTTCCACCTTTTGGCTATTGTGAACAGTGCTGCAGAGAACACTGATGTACACGTATCTGTTTGAGTCTCACTTTCAATTGTTTTGAGTATATACCTAGGAGTGGAATTGCTGGGTCATATGGCAGTTCTATTTTTAGTTTTTTGAGGAACTGCTACAATGTTTTCCACCATTTTGTATTCCCAGCAGCAATGGATAAGGGTTACAATTTCCCCACATCCTTGACAACATTTGTTATTTATTTATTTATTTTCTCTTAGCCATACTAGTGGGAATGAAACGGTATCTCATTGTGATTTTGATTTGCATCTCTGATGGCTAATGATGTTAAGCACCTTTTCATGTATTTGGTGGCCATTTGAACATCCTCTTTGGTGAGAAGTCCATTCAAGTCCTGTGTCCATTTTGTGATGGAGTTATTTATCTTTTTGTTAAGTTGTCAAACTTTTATATATATTTTGGTTATTAGATTTTTATTGGATATATGGTTTCCAAAGATATTCTCCAAATCGGTAGCTTGCCTTTTCACTTTTTCACTTTTTTGGCAAAGTCTTTCGATGAATAAAATTTTTAAATTTTTATAAGGTCCCATTTATTTATTTTGTCCTTTGCTGTTGGGCTTTTGTTACTATATTAAATAATCCATTGTTAAAAGCTAGGCCTGACAGTGTTGCCCACCCTGCATTTTCTTCTAAGAATTTTATGGTTTTAGTTTGCACATTTAGGTCCTTAATCCACTTTCACTTTGTTTTTGTGTATGGTGTGAGGCATGGATCCTATTTCATTTGTATGCATGTGGTGGATTTATATTTTTAATCAAATTTTACAGTTTTTCAGCTATTAGTCCTACAAATATTTTCTTACTTCCCTCTTTTGTCACTCTACTTATATATCCACTAGACTACATGATATTGTCCCATGGTCACTGAAGCACTGTTCATTTTCTTTTTTCAGCTTTCTTCTCCCTGTGCTTCATTTTAGACCGTTTCAATTGCCTTGCATCATGTTTTTTTTTTCCCCCTTACGTAATCTGCTGTTGGTGACCTGGAGGCACACTGGTTAAGTGCTCGGCTGCTAATCTAAAGATCGGCAGTTTAAATTCACCAGCCACGGCATGGAAACCCTATGGGGCATATCTTAGTCATCTAGTGCTGCTATAACAGAAATACCACAAGTGGATGGCTTAACAAAGAGAAATTTATTTCTTCACAGTAAAGTAAGCTAAAAGTCCAAATTCAGGGCATCAGCTCCAGGGGAAGGCTGGCCTTCTCATCAATGTTCCCTCGGACTAGGAGCTTTTCTGTGCAGGAACTCTGGGTCCAAAGGATGTGCTCGCTCTGCTCCTGGCACTGCTTTCTTGGTGGTATGAGATCCCCATTTCTCCGTTCAGTTCTCTCTTTTACATCTCAAGAGACTGCCTCAGGACACAATCCAATCTTGTAGACTGAGTCCTGCCTTACTAACACAACTGCCACCCGTCCTCCCTCATTAACATCATAGAGGCAGAATTTACAACATATAGGAAAATCACACAAAAGAGGGAATCACAGCCCAGCCAAATTAACACACACATTTTTGGGAGGACATAATTCAATCCATGACAGGGTAGTTCTACCCTGTCCTTTAGGGTTGCTATGAGTCAGAATCAACTGGATGGCAATGGTTAACAGTTAATCTGTTAAGCCTATCCAGTGAAATTTTCATCTCAGGTACTTTTACTTTTTATCTCTAAAAGTTCCATTGACTCCTTTTTATGGTTTCCATTTCTACCTTCCATTATGCATATATTTTCCTTTATATCTATAAACATATTAATAAGAGATGTTTTAAAGTAGTTGTCTGATGATTCCATCATCTCTCATTTCAGGATCTGTTTCTACTGAATGATTTTTCTCCTAGTTTTGGCTCACATCTTTTCTGCTTCGTCACGTCTAGTA